GACATTAGTTGAGTTACTGCACCATGATCAAGTCTAGAAGCTCTTTCCTGCTTGCATCTAATGCATGCCCAGGTAACCATTAATGCTTTCTCCCAAAACTTACCATCTTGTTCCCAAGCCATATTTGAGGCAGCCTAAAGCTGCCTTTAACTATTCCAGTAATAAAATAGGGTATCTTCCTTTAATGAGCCAATATTCTACAGCAGTTTTACCATGTTAGAGTTCGACAAAATTTATCATTTTGTTTATGGCACTGTCAGGTGATCCTTAGGGGAAAGGCATCTGCACAGAATCTTTTGGCCATTTTTGACTGGTTGTGGTCCTGGGCACTTTCCGCCATGGTTTCAAACTTAGCTGTCTCCCTTTACACATAGGTGTACAAACCTAGATCAATCTGAACAGAGGCAGGTGGGTGGTAGATGGAGAAGATGATACATGCTGGAATAGGACAAAATGAGATGGATTTCTCTCTGCTGCTGCTGCTTTATGGTGTAACTCTGGCCCCATTTAGGGTGCCTGCTAGGTGCTATTTTGAACACAGCATTAAACTATGTTCAAAAAGCAGCCTGAACAATACCTGAGGAGTTGGATGTGGGATTGTATAATGAAGCACCAGAGAAAGGGGTTGCTTATGCACGTTCGTTCCCTATCAACTGTTGTTGAAGGTGCTCTTAGCACCAGTTTCGCACTCTTCCAGAAAAATATTAAATAGAACCCAGCTACCCAATGGGTTGGTGTTTGCACAGCAAACGGAATGAGGGAGTATTAAATACCTTATTTTTCTTTCAGCCTCTGAAGCACAGTTAAAGTTAATTCTAAAACATAAACAGAAATATATAACATTTTGGAGAGGTATGTACTTTAATAAGTTTCACAGTATCCCACCCAGAAAATGAAAGGCAACATAAAGCAATAACCACAGCAACACTATAATTATTCCTACTGCTCTTGGAGAACTTCCAAAGCCTAAAATTAAGCATCCTCCAGAAGCATTAACATACAATTTCCTGAATGGATTACTATTCTGGGCCTAGGAGAGAGTTTTAAATATGTTTTCATTGATTTATTTGACTCCTATCCTATAGAAGGAGTTTGGAGTGGTATTTTACTTTGGCAGAAATTCCACAAGAATGCTGAAGTGAATGAAAGAAGGGCATATACTATCCAAGCTGACGTTTGGTTTGGTGGCAGCAGTGCCTCAGATAGAAAGTCCATACAGAGAGTGGTACGGACAGCCAAGAAGATTATAGGAAGCTCGTTATTCTAGGAAGCTGTTATAGGAAGCTGTTATTCAGAATACTGCTTATAAGTGCTATGTGCTTAGTTTGAAGCATCATCAGAGACCCCACACACTTATGGTCTGTTTCTGTTACTCCCCACTGGGAGGAGGTTTTGCAGTGTTTCTAGCAGGACTACCAGGTTCTGTAACAGCTTTGTTTCCTATGCCATCTGTCTGGTAAACTGGCAAGATTCATTTTTCTCATCATGTACATATATACACCCAAAGTAGACTGTATTGTTTCTCCGTATCATATAATATATGCGGGTATAAGCATAAATGTATTTATTTATTTAGTCATTTATTTTTTGTCATGTTTGTCATGTTTATGTAGAGTATATTAGAGGTGGAAACCCTTTGAGAGCCCATATGCAACAAAATTTCATTTTAATGTGTGTCGATTAGTGCACATTCAAAGTGACAATAAAGTTAAAGTTCTACTATTCTATTCTGTCCTGTCCTGTCCTGTCCTGTCCTGTCCTATTCCATTCCATTCCATTCCATTCCATTCCATTCTATTCCATTCTATTCTATTCTATTCTATTCTATTCTATTCTATTCTATTCTCCTTTAACTCGGACCAAACTTATTTTGTTTGTTTATTGCTTTATTATTATTGTGTGTCCTGCCCTATGGAGTCTTCTAAAGGAACAGTCCTATTATTGTAAATGTGCCCTGGAAAAACATTGCCCTATCAAAATGCTGAGTTGTGATATTTAGGAATGTATAGGTACTCCTTGACTTACAACAGTTCATTTAGTGACCGTTCAAACAACCCTGAAAAAAGTGACTTATGACTTTCACACTAACAACCATTGCAGCGTCCCCAGGGTCGTGGGATCAAAATTTAGACACTTGGCAACTGACTCATAGTTATGACACTTGCAGTGTCCCGGGATCATATGTTCACCATTTGTGACCTTCTGACGAGTAAAGTCAATGGGGGAAGCCAGATCCACCGTGTTACTAACTTAACAACTGTGGCAAGGAAATTTGTAAAATTGGGCAAAATTCACTTAACAAATGTCTTACTTAGCAACAGAAATGTTGGGTTCCATTGTGGTCATAAATTGAGGACTACCTGAATAGATTTCTCCAAATTTGTCTACATTAAATAATCTTTATTTGCAGGATACTGGTTGTAGTGCTGCAACCTCCTTGCTCAGAATAAATTTGTACACAAAGAATAACTTATTTGATGTCCTTTTTGGGTTGCTTATATGTTAATATTATTTATAGGCAGACAAATTATATTGGAATGACCAATGAGATAACCAGAATATGAACATCTTGCATGCCATTATTTATCTAAATTTACTAGAGAAGTAAATGTGATATTTTTTGAACATACAATTAAAAACAACCTGCAATGAGAGCAGTGGCTGTTTTGGTTAAGAAGGAACAATTTGCTTTGCTATTTACTACTGCATTTGGTATACAGTGATCCTGGTTTATGGCCACTTATTCAGTGACCATTCAAGCTGAACAAGTGGTAATTATGATCAGTCCTCAAAGTTCTGGCTATGACATTGTCCCTATGGTCACTGGTACTTGGCTACCTTCAATGATGACATCACTGAATGAGCCATGGTCACATGATTACAATTTCCGAAGTTCTAAAGCAATCAATACTTGATTCATAATAAACGCATTCATGCAGGAAAGCACTTTAGCTACAAATTTTGTGCAAGAATTAGTGAAGATAATTTTCTAATTAAAGCATACAGTAAAATCAGTGACATTTGACCTAAGACATGTACATACAATAAAAAATATATTTAAAAACAGCTTATTTTACAGACTGCAACTTTCATAACTTTTTTCCTCCTCTTAAAAAAAGGACTTAAATGGAAGAAAGAATGGACATTGTTTTTCACTGTTAAATTAAACTCTACCCAATTGTCACAAAGTAAAATTAATTGACAAAGGCAAAATCAGTATATAAGCAACTTGTTACCTGAACAATTTAAGCAGGGGTGCCCCAAAAAGGCACTTTCTAAAATGAATGGACTACCCTGTAATTATGTCCAAAGTGCTAATGATCATGAAACCAAACCATGATGTGGATTGCAGCTCCACGTAATGCTTTTGATCCCAAATTCATTTAACATTAGCTTTATATTATGTTTTAAAACTTCACTCTGTATTTTCTATTATATAATTAGTTAAGCTAACTTTTCTACCTAATTAAATAGAAAGGTAGAATATAAATCAGTTTAATAGATAAGGTCTATGGAAAGCATTAGGCTAAGAAAAAAAACTACATTAATTTTTTTTTAGAAAGCTATTACTTGTTGGTCTTCCCCTTTGCCTTCAAAAAGCATGCTTAAAAATGGGTTCATGTGCAAATGGACATGCAACTTTAATCCTCTTCTTAGTACAAAGGAATTATTCTCTTAAGGGATGTTCACGACAATGCTCATAATATGCAGGGGTGGGATTCAAAAATTTTAACAATGGGTTTTGTGGGCGTGGCTTAGTTTGTGGGCGTGGCTTGGTGGCCATGTTATTGGCTGGGCATGGCCAACTCAATATCACTCACATCGAGGCACACATCTCCTTGCCTGGCCTCTCATGACTGTGTGGATGCTGCAACAGTCGTAAGCGTGAAAAATGGTCATAAGTCACTTTTTTCAGTGCCATTGTAACTTTGAACACTCCACACAAGCAAAGTACCAGCAAAGGAGGGGAAAAAAACTCCAGAGAAGTTCCAGAGACAGGAAGTCTAGTTCTGCCAAGAATGTAATAAGGGTTAATGGAGAGGCAGTTTCTGTCAGCAACACCAGAATGTTTCCTTCTTGCCTTCCTTACAGGATTAGGCCAGTAATTTCTTCTAACAACCGGTTCTCCGAACTGCTTAGAATGTTAACAACTGGTTCTAGGAATAGGTGAGAACCTGTAGAATCCCACCCCTGCTCATATGTTCTCAAGGTACTAAAGCCCTTAAAGTTTCTTAGTGGTCTTTGATACCTTTGATTACGGTATTGTGCTGATTTTCAGTGGTGACTGGGGACCTCTCCTTCCCCACTATGAACTGGAACTACCATTTGAAGGAGTACCCCCAATCCCTGCCCTCCACACAAGGTCCAGTAGGATATAATAGTCACTGATCATAATTGAACATCTACTCTGCCTTTAAAAGGATTCTTCTTTGACCTAGGTCAGTGATAGCTAACCTTTTCGTCCTCGCATGCTGAATGTGCATACATGCATGCTTGTATGCGTGCATGTGTGCCTGCACCCATAATGCAATGCCCATTCAACCCCCCTGCCCCCTGCATATGTGCATGCAACCCCCTATGTGTTGCACGCTTCTGCGCATGCGTGCATGTCTCCCGCGCATGCCCTGCACATGCACGACAGATACCTGACAATCGGCTGGCTGGCAGGAGGAAAGCACGCATGTGCAGTGGACCTGATCTGGGACAACGGCTCACATGCCAGAAGAAATGGCTCTGTGTGCGACTTCTGGCATGCGTGCCATAGGTTCGCTATCACGGACCTAGGTGATCCTTCGAATACTGGGTTAATCAACTGATCCAAAAAGTTGCAAAAATTTCAAGCATGGAGCTCACTACTAGTTTTAGACCAATCTGTTTTTCCAAGTTCAGCCTATGCAAGAGAACTGTCCCTATGGGTTATATTATAATGAAGAGAAACCTTGGAATGTTGTCTCAGAACTGAAAGAAAAAAAGGGGGGAATAAGTGCAATGTTACTTACTGTCCAGGCAAGGTTCACAAACAGTTTGGTTTACTCCACAAGGTTGGGCAACTCCTTCCCCAGAGCTACAGGCTCGGCAGCATTCTCCGCTGGCAGTAAATTTCCCTGTGGAGCACTCTTCCTTGGTCCCTGCTGAGCCCTAGGGCAAGATAAAAAGCAGGAACAGATGATAAGACCACTTCTAACCCTGGACGCAAAGATACCCCCAAAGACACTGTTTTTTGCTACAGGCAAGCTCTAAGACAGTGGTAGTCAACCTGGTCTCTACCGCCCACTAGTGGGCATTCCAGCTTTCATGGTGGGCGGTAGGGGTTTTGTCCCCTACTTTATAAATCACCATTACTGTGGAACCGGTGGGTGGTTAGAGAAAACTTATTAAAAACATATTTAAAAAACGTATAAAAAGGTTGACTACCCCGGCTCTAGGACTTGGCTAAGAAGATTCTTCAGATTGGCAAATAAAAAAATAAAGCACTTTATGAATTGGATCATTGGTGTGGAACCAAGGAAATGGACTTACCTGAAGACCTAATGGGCTTCATGCATCCCAACTGTCCAAAAGGGAATTTTCTCAAACTCTCTGTGCTGATTGTTTTCTTACAGATGTTTCATCACCTGAACTAGATAACATCTGGGTAACATACTCAGAGCACTGATTATGCTATCTAGTTTGGGTAATGAAAACAACCAAGCTCAGAGAACAGCAATGACTTCTCATCTCTATTTTCAGAGTTGCAATCTATTAAATAGATTCCTAGTGAACCTTCATTATTTCTTAGACAGGGATAAAGCTACAAATTCATATAATATGAGAGTCAGAAAATAATTACATAGGCATTTGAGTGAAGAGCCACAAAATTTCTGTTTAGAATTGTTTTGTTGGAAAGTCGTGGTGATTTGGTGAGAAGGACTAATTGTCTGATCTAATGTAATATAATTTTAATCAGATATTGAATTTTTCTCAATTGATATTCCTACATTAGAAGCAAACAGAAACCCAACTAAAAGTCTACATTCTTCAAACAAATGCTATACAGATGTGCTGTCCTATAATTTTCACACTTCCCAGTTCAGTCAAGCCAGAGTCTTTTGTGAATTGTGGCCTCTGGCAATTGTACTACAACATATCTAGAAAGCATCCATCTGAGGAAATCTGCTTTAGTCCTTTAGATCAACTAGGCCATTTTAAAGAGTGACCAGTCATGACCATTGGTGAAATGGTGATCTGGAAAGTACATGTAGCCAGCCTTGAAAACATATATATATATATATACACTCAATATAATACATAACTTCCATTTGGATTCTGCTTGGTACATTCTTAAACTACACACAGTATTCTTGAAAGAAAAAAGAAAAAAGAAAAAATTATAAATGTATATAATTAAAACAACATTCCATTCCAATTCAATTCTATCATTAATATTAATATTCATTAGAGTCTTAACATTTTTCACTTTACTTTTCAATTAAATATCATATTTCTATGGGAACAATTATAAACTTTCCATAGTTAATCCCCCACCCTCTTCACTTATATTTTATAAAACATATACTAATTAAAATGTTCCCATTCCTTCCTAATTCAATTTTCTCACTTATTTTATTTCATTTACTTTATTCACAAACATTTCACTAAATTACACTATTTTATCCCTCATTCTAATCATATGTTGTTTCCAATTTTCTAAAATTATTTCTATTACAAATATAACAATACAATTTTATGTACCTTTACAGAATCCCTTTTTCAGTTAAATTTTCACCCATTGTCTCTAAATAGGTCCTGTTTCTTTATATCTTGCTCCGGACCTTTGTAACTTCCTGTCCTTTCCTTCTTCCCTCTCTTCTTCTCTCTCCCCTTTTTACCCCTTTGTCTCTCTACCTCTATTTCCCTCTTCTGTATTCCCCTTTTCTGTTGCTTTCCAGTATTATACTTATTTTTTGAATTATTTTTCTTTTCTTTGGTTGTTTTTTTAAGTCTTAAATTCTCCACCCTCTTTCCCCCCTTTCCTTTTTCTTCCCCACATAGAGTTACTTGTTCATTAAAGATGGCTTCTTCTTTGTCCCAGTCTTCTTGTTTTGCAGTCTTTTCTTGTTATTTCTCGTAGTTCCAGATCTCCATTTCTAAGAATTGAAAAACGAAGCCAAAAGAACCCTTCCCTTCTTGTGCATCTTCTTTGTACTTTTTAAGTTCCATTTTCAATTCATCCAAAAGTGATACCATTGTAGAAATTTTTAAACAACCACCCGATTGATTTTAGTCATTCAAATATAATAACCAAAAATCCAAAAGTCACCAAGTAATCCAAATACACACAAGCTGTTTCTTTTTGCTCTTTCTTTTTTTTCTACTTTCTCTTCCTGGGGTTACTATTTAGTTGCAAAGTTTCAGTTAAAATGTATCTTTTAGAAGTCTTATTGAAATTTTACTTTAGATTCTTTTAAAGTCCAGGCAGTCTCCTCCCTCTTCCAGATCCTGCCCTTATTCTTTTTCTCTCCCTTCCTGCTTATAGAAGAAAAAGTTTTTAATGTCCAGAAATCTTTATTGTCCCTTTGGCATTTAGTTATATTTTCAGCTTAATTGCCTATTAATGCCAAAGCGGATTTTTCCAATTTCTTATTTAGGTCTCTCAGTTGTCAATATAAGGAAGGAGAGAGAAGAAGAAAAAAAGCCAAACCTTTCCCTTTTCACTTTCTTTCGCTGCTTCCGACTCTTCTTTAGGAGCGATGTTATTTCTTGTAAAATTTAAATTCCAGGGTACCTTAGTTATTGCTTTTTCAACTTAGCCCGGTCAGCCAAAACTTTCACTTCTTATCTTCCTCCTGCACGTTCTTTTCCGGTTGAGTTCTTTGAGGTGGCCATTTCTGACCACCGCTCCTACCGCCTTCGGGAAAGGGAGTAATGGCCAGCTGAGGAGGAGAGATGCGGCTCTCCTCGACCCTGCTGGCGGTCTCCCCCCTCTTCACCACCTCTACGGGGTGGCTTAGCCCCAAAGCCAGCCGGCTCGGGGCGCTCCAGCGGCGAGTCCAGGCAGAAACCGTGCATGATCACGGATTCCTGTCTGTCACTGAAGCCCTTCAAACCGGAAGTCCAGCCTTGAATATTTTGAAGAGCAAACTTAGTGTATAAAATCCTGTGCAGCATCTACATCATTTCAATTTACAATTCCCACATTACATAGGAAGATTTTCATGTAGGATATAATCACCGACTTCAGAGTAACAATGTGAACTTGTCATTTTTATCTGAACAGGAGAGTATAACCTTAAATCATCATGTTGACATTCAGTGTCCAGAAGCCCATTCTCATTAAACTATAGTTTATTGCCATTAAACTGTAAATGTTGACATGATAAAAAAAAAACACAGTTACAATAAACTATTTCTTTATTTGTTAAATGTCTATATCATCACAACGTAAATCTGGAAGTCTACTGGCAGCTAATGCAAGGTAAATGTGATTCTGGCACCTAGTACCAGTTGGTAAATAGACTACTCATTTTGCCTAAACTGTGGTATCTGGTAGATCATTAAAAACAGCCCCATGAGGATACATTGCAAAAATGATATGAGTTTCCTCTGAGTGCAGGAAAGCCTCAACAGGTGCCCCTTTTGAAGCCAAAAGATCTCCCAGACACCTTCTACCTGCCCATATAGCAATAGCCATTAGTCCAAGAGGACCCCCCAAGTTGCAAACCTACTGCTTCAAGGGCAATGACGCTCCCTCAAAAGACCACACAAGAGCCTTGATTAGCAAACAGCAGTTCTGTCTTCTTGGGTTCAACTTCACCCTATTTCTTCCAATCCAAGCCCCAACAACCTCCAGACATTGGAAAACATCACCAGCTGTTATACAAAACAGCCAAAGAAAGAATGTGAAAAAAGAAGCAGCTGAGGAAAAAAAAAACTGGGAACAATCCAGAGGCACCATTTCAGAAAACTTTCATCCATGGCAGCATCACTGTCATATCCCCTGTCTTGAATTCAGCAGAAACACTTGAATGCATGGCTAAATACAAATTTTACTGCATTTTAAAATGATGATGCTTTAGGGAGTCAATTGCCATTTGGCAGAATGAGAGCACACTTCTCTTATACCCAGGGGTGGGTTTCTACCGGTTCTGTCCACCTCTGTAGAACCAGTAGCTCTGAAGAGCAGCAGACATAGGACCGGTTCTATGTCTGCTGATGTTTTTGCCCACCCGCCCACCTGGGCTCTTACCTGATCTTTATTTCCTGATTTTTCAACTTCAGTTGCCAAACGAGGCACAACTGCAGTTAAAAAACAAGAAAGAGGGCTGTTTCAAAGGCTGCTTCTCAGCACGCAGTGTGCTAATGACCTTTAACAGGCTCAGCTCACAGTGGGCAGGGAAGCTCGTAAATCCCAAACCCTGTAGTTAACCCTGTCGTATCCCACCCCTGCTTATACCCTTGCAATTTAGGCTGGCTACTTCTTTTTCCTGCCCTTCCCATGACTTAACAGATATTTATTTGTGTATTTATCATGCCTAATATCAGGTAATAATTCAATGTTGACATAACTGGCATTCTCTCCTAGAGAAATGTGAGTTCTCAATACATTCCTTTGCATCTTTTACCTTCCTCTTAAAAGCATCTGGAACGATCAGGAACTATTCCTCATTCCTGATTCAGGAAGGCAGAAAGAAAACTTGTTTCCTTTCATGTTCCCTATTGCCATTGCAGAAGGCCCCCAGAATAAAGACAATAGCAATAGGTGCCATTTCCTCTTCCCTTTTTGGTTTCTATCACAGAAGCCCCACCTTTCGCAGAAGCCATTGAGACTCTCCTTTTCTCTTTCTAGAAAGATACAATTTTTCCAGTGTCAGAGCTGAAAACCAATAGATCTATACCTGCAGCTCCCTCCTTATTCGCCTAAATTCCTGCTTGTGTCCTACACTAAGTCTCCTTGCTTAGAATTAGAATCTCCACCAACTTTCTCAGCTAGCCAATCACATAGTTTACAGAGGTCTTTCTGGTGGATTTAATAAAGAATGTGAAATGTGTAGACATCATTTATGGCTTTCTAGGAAGTAGCCTTACAATGAATCAAATTCTTAAACTATTCTTTTGCAATAAGGGGCCAAAATTAATCCACTTTGAACAACTCCTTCTCT